ATTTCTATATTCATGAATATACTTATTATAAACAAAGGGCACATTTTGCCATGGTTTAGGAGATGGCAGTGATACTGTCTGACACACGATAGCATCACTATTGAACTTTAATAAGACACAAGTTCTTTTACTTTCTATCATCACGTAACGCTATCGATAGAAACAATTATTAACTTTCCAAAAATTATACTACTCCCGTACAATTTGCTATTAACAAGAATAACGAGTGTCTGTACAATTAATTCTAATACATACTACATACAGCAGGTACGCAAATAGACAAGAGTTTCTTTTTAATTCAAAGAAACATTAGGATGAACCACTTGAATCATTATGATGCTCCTGTGCAGTCATTTCTATTTGTGACAAAGTTCTTTGCAATTCCGTGCGTTCTGCTGGATGTAGTCTGTGCGCAATTTCTAAAATTGCATTTAATCTCACTTCTGGACAAGCTTCTAGAGCTTCTTTGATTCGAGAAACGATTGCATCTTGTTTGACACAAGTGATATTACGCGAAACAACACTATTTTCATCTTGTCGTTGATTTTCCAACCAATTTGTCGCTACTTCATCTTGATCCCATAAATATGATTCCGTGGCACCTTTATCCTCTATGAACCATCTACGCAACATCGCACCTACTTGTCTAAAATCAACATCTAAATTTCGTTGCGTTGAAAGAACTTCTTCTTTTATTTCATCTTCCAGAAGTCTTCTTCTAAGTCGCCAGTAAAGTAATCTTCGCGCTTTTCGCCATGGAATAATATCATGAATGACATTTTTCTCGTACATTCTTTCTGGTGTATCGTGAAGATCCGCGAAATGAATTGCAACTTGATGATACATAGGTTCTAAAGTTTGTTCTCTCTTACGTATTTGACTTTCGATTTCTTTTCGTTCTTCAGGTGAATTTACATTGGATAAGTTTTCCTAAAATGAAATAATAAATAAAATAATAATTTTATAATAAATATCATTAATAAAATATGATTTTAGTATTATATATTATATATATCATTTATAAATAATAAGTAAAAATAATATTTATAGATATTTATAATCATATTTATAATTACTTTAAGTTTTTGTATTATTGTATCAATCCTATGCATAGTTTTAATTAAATCTTTATTTCTAAATTTTATTTCTACTATTCCACTAGGTTCTAAAACTCCAGCTCGACTTGTATTGTCAGCAAACATTTCCATGTAACGAGGATTTATTGTTGGATCAACGACTGCCCAAGCACCACCTCTTAATTCACCATTTGGTGGAATATATATAAATATTGGTTTAGTATATTTTCTTAATCCATCCACAATGTAAGCACCAAATTTGATAATTTGTTCATACATATCTATAAAAAATATGTTATTAATAATAATTTCATTAAAAAATAATAAAAGTAATTATTAAGAATTAATGAAAACCTTTCATTCCACCAGAGAATCCTCTCCAATTAGCGAAGATAAAAAGTGGAAGTTCTTCTTTTCCAAAATCTTGAATAGCTTGAGCAGTTTTATATGCACTATCAGGGAACCATACTTGTCCTGCTTGAGAGATTGTTTTAGCTTCTGAATCGAGATTAGCAGGATCAGCAGGTAAATGCAATTCAACAGTTCTTGTTTCTACTGCAATAACACCACAAGGAATTCCTCCTAATCTAGCTCGTCCAGTTACCACAGTTTGAGCCCAAGGTCTCATTATTTCCTACAAATATTATTATATTATTAATACTTTATTAATAGAAAATATTACGACTATTTTATCAAATAATTAATATAAAATAAAATATACCTGCCAAGAGCCACGATCAAAGAATCCACTCTCCCAATAATTTGTTCCATTTTGTATTCTACCTTCAAGCATTAATCTTGGATCATAGGCTGTCTTTGTAGGAACATAAGTAATCTCTCTATCAATTGGATCAGGAAGAAGTGATGATAATATAGGAAGAGGCGCTCCTTTATATTTCGGACAATAACTTAACCATCTTAAAGCAGTGGCAATACCCTCTATATCTCTTACATCAGTTGCATGTGATATTCCATTATTATGCATGATTTGTATACCACCTAATTGATTGTTACTAGCATATACTTCACGACCTAATACAACATTCAATGCTTTATATCCGGTTAAAATGATGTGAGAATTTTCTATTTGAATCACTCTTTGCCCAAGACGTAATAAATAAGAACCGATACCAATAGCACGACAAGAAACAATGGAAATTGTAACTATTTCATCATAAGCTTTTGATGTTTCTCCAGCAATCATACCAGCATATTTCAAATTTTCTACACCAAGACCATCCTCTTTACCGATAATATCAGTAATTTTGTAACGAGATTCTCCCTTATCTTCAATCAACGAAGTTTTTACTGAATTAAATGGTGCTAAGCGTGCGTAATCATCTGGAGTTAGATATATATATTTGAATCCTTTTTCTGGTTCATCGTCATCTTCCCAAGCGATTCTGAATAATCCTTTTACTTCTTCTGCTAAACCAATACGAGCTCCAGAATTTGCGGAAAAATATATTCGAGGGATTCCAAGTTGTCTAGCTCTTTCAGATGCTTTGAAAAATACTAAATCTTCCTTTGGGCCAAAAGAACCAATTAAATGTGTTAAATCGTTCGCAATTAATATAATGTCTCTACCAGTTATAGGATATTCTGGTGTATAAAGTCTTAATCTCCAAGCGACCATACCGATATTATTTTCACCAGGAAGACGTTTTTGTTCCACTAAATTTTCACCCTCTAATACTAATTCCACGCAATCCATTACAGTATTCGGAATCGTTATATCAGATTGTTCTCTTTCTTCTATGTATTTATGCCATAGTTTCTCGGTTTGTTGTCTAAACATGTCTGGTAAATCATATACATATGTTGTACCAGCACTTTGTGCTTGAAACCGTTTTGCTTGAAGATAATCTTTGGTTAGATATGGCGTAGAAATCGGTAAACCATGCATAGGTCCAGGTCTCCAAGTACCATTTGCCTTTGCAGAAGGATAAGATTCAAAACGAATGATACCAGTCTTTGGATCAGTTATTTCTGTGTAAAGGTGTAAATCTATGCTATATCCGCTATCATTAGCAATACATAAACGTATAATAGATGTTGGTTTTCCTGGTGCTGGACGAATCGTCATTTTAATCTCAGCATGACGGACTCGTAATTTCCATAATCTTGGACCATATCTCAATACCATACTTGTTACACTTTCTTCTATTCTTGCTGGATCCATAATAACTGTAGGTACAAAGTTCAGAAAAATATGATTGCATTCCGTACGTTTTGCAAGAGGATGTGAAAACGCAACTTCCAATTCATCCATAGCTTCTAATAAGACACGTTCACCTTCGTTATGGAGATAATCAAAACTAGCTTCTTTTGTGATAAGATCAGAATGTCTTATAATAGAACGAATAAAGAAACGATAATCTGTAACTTGTTGTCCTTTAGCAACTTTCGCTTGACCAAGATAAAGATGCATTTTTTGATTCGAAGTTGGTAAAGCTTCAAGATCATAAGTTCTCATTCTATTTAATTCTAATTGAAAAGCGCAACCAGGTTCAAGATGTCGATAAATTTTATCTTCAACAAAACCATCTCTTTGACGAAATGTAAAAAATTTAGGAAACTGTCTTTTCTTTAAAGCAGCGAACGTGATTCTCTTTATACCTCGTAAGATTAATTCTTCTTTGTTTGCAGCACACCAATCTCCAAAAATTTTTGCCATTATAACATCATCGTGATTTTCCTTTTCTTGGACGGCAATACTTAAAATATGTACCGGTTCTGTTGGTCGTTCACCAACTTCCACTGGACCAGCAGTTTCTGCAGTACTTAGAGATACATTTATGGATGTACTATGTCTTGATTCGCTTCCAGCTGCATCTACTGCTTCTAAAACTTTGGCTGAAACTGTGGTAACCGAAGATAAGTCTTCTAAGAGATCGAAAACTTCATCAGAATATCGAACGAATTGATCCATATCTTGGAAAGCTGCCATAGCTCCAATTCTATGATTAACTGAAGATTGATTCTGTATATTGGGATGATTGTTAGGTAACAAGAATTGGAAATGTACAAGTGGTACTTCACCTGATAGTTCTAAATGTTGTAAACACGTTAACTCATAACTGATATAAGCTCTGCGGACATAAACTTCTAAAGCAGCATTACAAACTGCACGATTGGAATGGTAAAAGAAATCGTGTAAAATATCGAAAATAGATGTTTCAGAAAGGATCAATTTTTGTAAATTTTCTGGGTGGAAATCATGGCCGTACATATCTACTGCTGACAAAAATATAGATTCCATTTGGTTATGTCTTAACTCATATGCAGGTTGGTGAGCAGCAATTAGAATTTGTCTTGCACGTAATGCCACACGACTATGTTCTGTACGATTCAAACTAGTTAGTTCTGTCAATGTACTCGACAATTCATCCGTGAGGCCAGGTTCATTTGCCCAAAGATGATCAATGAGCATAGTTACTAAAACATTCTTCTTTGTGACTTGATTGTGACTAAAAATCATAGCTGTTACTGTTGCTACATCATCTTTGTACTGTTCTATTAAAGCTGAAACACATTTATCGTAATGCCCTTGTTGGAACTGGCTTTCAACTGTATAATATTGTCGAAGAAGTTCATGAACAGCAGTTTTCATTCTTCCACGTATTCCATTTCTATATCTTTGTACTAATTGTACTATAGCTTGAGTAGTTAAAAAGAATACGTCACGTTCAGATCGCTTTGAAAGAGTTGCTGCATGTCCATCAATTACAGCAGCAATCTGTTGACTAGGAAATTGAGCTAAAACAGAAGTTATATTTCTTTCATATAACGACATTAATTTTCTGATTTTCTTCTCGACAGAAATTGGAATTCTTCCTGATATTGTTGCGATTACTTCTTGTAGTTCAAGTAGAGGCAAACTAGGATCACGAAGTGAATTCATAAATTTCTCAAGAAGTTCTCGTACTCGAGGTAAATGATATGGATCTGGCAAACAATATCCTGCTAAAGTGTTTTCTAAAGCGATTCTATATTTAGCATGTAAATGATTTAATTTTTCTGGTATTGCTGGTGCTGCAGTTTCTGGGAATTGACCAGTATAATCTTGGGCTTTCGTTACCAAAGACGGATCGTCCAACTCTAATTGAGCAATCAAAGTACCAGCTTCAAGAATAGCACCCGGTCTTTTAACATAGAAGACACGACCAGCTTCGCTCGCTGTTATTGTCATTACCATTTTCATAACTTCAATTTCTGCATAGGCTTGTCCAGCATTCACATGTCCACCATCTTCCACCAAATAACTGATCAACTTTCCGGCTGATGGTGATCTTAATAAAGAAGGATCGTTATCTTTTTCAAAGATGCAAGTTTGATTTCCAATGATAATTCTATAACGATCAACTTCTTCCCTCATATAAGTAGTAAAACTTGCACCATCTAAAGAGAGTAGCAATCCTCCATCTGATAGTCGGTGTACTTCTACTTCTTTGTAGGAACCGTTCATAACAAGAAAATAACTATTAGGACCTGACTTAGCAGTCTGTACTTTATATTTATATCCATCATTAATAAGTTCAACCTGAAAGATTTTGTTAGATTTCATAATATTTATAAAAAAATTAAATTACATTAAATTATTAAACTAACAATATAAAACTTAACATAAAAACTTACATCGATAATATTATCTAAATCATTACTAGCTTGTATTTGTCCTTTTTCCAATGCTGTTTGGAATCCAGTGAAAGCGGCCGTGATTGTCCTATCAGCGATATGAAGCGCACCACATGTTACAGCTAATAATACATCCGGTTTATCACTTCTAACGCGTTCGGCAATTAACAAATCAAGCCAAGCAGTATCTATATTGTTTTGTTGAAAAGATTCAGTTTCTAATAATGTGATCAAATATTCGACAGTGGTTCTGAAATCACCCCTAATACTTAATTCTTTTAAAGCTATGACTAAATTTTCTCGAGCTTGATTACGATCCTCTCCCCAAGAAAAACAATGACCAAATTGAGAATCTGCGAATTCGTGAAGACCTCCAGAAGCTCCTACTGAGAAATAACCCCAAACATTTTTTGAAGATCGAAAATTCAATTCTTGAACAGTACCCGAACTTGGTTTAAAACCTAAATATATAATTATTATAATATAATTCTTTTTAACTTGATCAAAAATAAAATAATTTTTTAATGAAATTCAATTTATTACCTTCATCAGGATTTTCACTAGTAATTCTTGCTGCTATCACATGACCCCATGGTTGAGGTTTATGTCGTGGTTGATCGAAATCAATCACGCTATCTCCCCATGGACTTTCACCATAAAGAAGACGAATGTCTTTAATATGATGTAAGGGCAATCCCATAGCAATCTGAAGTTGAGCCGCAGGTAAATTAACATCAGATACCATTTCGGTACATGGATGTTCTACTTGAAGACGTGGATTCAATTCCAAAAAGTAATATCGTCCAGAAGTGTCGTAAAGATATTCAACAGTACCTGCACTGACATATCCAACCATTTTGGCTAATCTTACAGCAGCCTATTATAAGACAACATATAAAAAAGAAAATTTTTCGTTGTATTATTTATTGATTATATATTATATATTGTATTATATATTGATTTTATATTTGAAAAATCAAAAAATATTTTTTTTAATTCACAAATATAACTTGTAATTACTTTTTCCATTTCTTCAAAGACTTCAGGTTTAGCAATTACGGCTGGTGCTTCTTCGATAATTTTTTGATGTCTTCTCTGAATAGAACAGTCACGACCGAACAACGATATTGCATTTCCATAATTATCAGCTAGTAATTGAACCTCTAAGTGACGTGCACATTTTGCTAACTTCATAATGAATATTGGAGATCCAGGTATCTCAGTTTGTACCTGCCTGAGAAAATCGTTAAGGATTATTAATGTAATGTTCACAATATTTTGTTACATAATTTATTTTTATAAAACATTAATGAAATTTTTCTAAATCTAACAATTTTATTCTTACCTAAATAACGTAGGTAATTCTTCAGCGTTTTCAACTTTCCTGATACCTTTGCCACCACCTCCTTCGCTAGCTTTTACCATTATAGGAAAGCCTATTTTATTGGCTGCTGCCAAGCATTCTTCTACCGTCGAAACGCATCCTTTTTTGAAAAGTTCTGAAGATATTTTTATCTTTTTTCCACTATATTGCGCTGTCAATTCTGAACCTGACCAGGGAAGTGTCGGCACATCTGCAGTTTGTGCTACAATACTAGATGCAATTTTATCTCCAAGAGCCCACATTGCTCTTTCGGATGGTCCTAAAAAATATAATATATAATTCATCTTTTCCTTTTGTCTTTTTTTTTATTTAAAATTTATTGATCAAAAATATTTTCTCAACTACAATTTACCAATGAAACACATGTTATTTTTATGAAGTAATTCTGGCAACTTTGGATTTTCTGATGCATGACCCCATCCTGCCCATACAGCCTGGACTTGTGTACGTATAGCGATGTCTACGATCAGCTCGACGTTTGCATAATTGTTATTATTGGTTCCACCTGGTACAGGTACGTATTGGTCTGCCATTTTGATGTATTCTGCGTTCGCTTTCAAATCTTCCGGAGTTACCATTACAACAAAACGCACAGCACGTTCGTTCTTGAACATTTCGTAGGACCATCGACGGATCGAACGCATACATTTCACTGCTGCTATTCCATTGTTGGCAATTAGAACCTATAATTGATATTTAATCACTACATATTAAATTTGATTTCTATATTGATATTATTTTTTATATATAATTTAATATTGAAATATTGATGATTGAAATATTGATAACATTGGTATCTAAAATATAAGATATTATTGAACGAGTAATAATAGTTGATGAATCATTTTTTTTTTTTTAATAATTATCTTTCTCTTTTTTTTTTGTTTAATTCAATTCATTGTTGAAGATAATAGAATTTCGATTTATCTCGGAGTTTACTTCGGAATTTACCAAGAAATTTGAATAAATCGAGACATAACAAATACTTGATATATACTTGATACGAGAAAAAAAAAACTAGAAATTATACACAAAATATAATCAATTTATGATTTAAAATTTATATTAAATTTATAGAAAATATATTTTTTTTTTATTATATTGAAATATATATATATACGATTCTGAACTTTATTACATACAGATAGAGATAATAATTGTTTTATCTATAAAAATTTTTGATAAAAAAATATAATAATTAAATAATTAACAGAAAATTTAAGTTAAAACAAATAAATGGAATCCAAATTATAATGAATTTACGATGATAAAAAATATTTTAAATTAAAATTATTTAAATGAGGTGAATATTACGATAAAACTGTCCTATTTGCAGAAAGAACTCTCAAGGACATATCAAAGATGGAATAATGTATGTTTTATATTGGTATTGCGCCAGAGTATCGTGGAATAGGCATAGTAACCCGTATAACTCAAGATCATTCAAGGTCGTTCGAGGTCAACTATGAAGGTCGTTTAGCGATTGTTGTAACAGTGCGAAACAATACAAACATCTACACACATGACCTTCTTTTGTATTGTTTTCTAACACAAATGTTTTTAAATTTTTGAATATAATGCAATTCATAAATACAGTGAGTATATTTAATAATAATATAAAAATCATTTGCAAGTAATAAAATAATATATAAATAATATGTGAAAAAAAAAAAACAGACAATTATTTTAAAATTCAACAAATATGTAAATAAAAAAAAAAAATATTATTGGAAATCGATATTACTTTGTTAATGACTCTTGTACCGCCGAAACGATGAACAAATTCCTCAGGTGTGGCAATAGTAAAGTCCTTTTCATGTAGTCGGCTTTGCGTCTGGATCATCACCGTACCCTGCGACATGCTGGGCCTATAAAATCAGACAAAACACACACATTATTTCACTAAATACATTCCTATTATTAACAACTCAAATTTTTCTTTTCCAAATAATTCTATAATTATCTTCTTCTAATAATATTCACAATATCATTTAAAGTTTTACCATTATTTACCTATCCTTCATTAAAATAATCATTAGGCACGTTTTCTTTTATAATATTTGTTTTACAACTAATTATCAGTCAAATTTGACGAATAAATACCGATTATGAAAAAATAACGAAAAGAAAGTTTAAAAAATCGAGTCAAATTTTTTCCTAGAATTTTCAAGATAATTTTATCATCCATTAACGGGGCAATATGTGAATGACACCGGAGAAAGTACCAAACCGTTAATTTAAGCGGCTCACGCAATGCCATTCCTTCGTAACGCTTTCGGAACCTTCTATGTATCTCGCCTAGATACGTTTTTCTTATATATGCCGCGTCTACATTAACCAAAATTCTTTGTGGTCTCACAATTTTATGTACAGATTATAAACGAAAAATGATATCGTTTTTCGGTATTTATATTGAAACAATTCGCAAACAATTCGCGAATAAAATAATCATAAAATAAGGAAAATGATACGTCTTTTTTCATTGAAATTTATTTGATGTTCGGTGATAAACTTGTTGCTAGCATAGATAAACGAATCGATCGCGAACATCAATGTGAACGCAGTATTTCTTTTCTTCCTTATTCATTTCTCTTCTTCATCTGCAAAGTGTGTACTTAAAAGTAATCTCATCGGCTCATCGAATAAGAATTTAAAACTTAAAAGATTTATATGAATTCACATGATTATTTTATAATAATTTATATTGATAATATTTTTATATTGATAAACGTTCGTTTTATCATGAATATATAAATAAATGTGCATAAATTTAAAGATATATAATAAAATAGTTTTTATATAATACTTTTATATTTTTATATCTTTAGATAATATAAATAAATTGAAATTAATAAAAAATGTGAATAAAACAAGAAATTTTTTTTTATTTATATTCATTAATTTTAAACACTGAATCACTGCAAAACACAATACTTCGTTCACAAACAACATTTCATTTTAAAGATTGGAAATATTCCACTAGAATTTTGCTGACATATAATATTTTTTTCTCTGTGAATTTTGATTCGCTTATCAATTTATATCCTTGAAACTGCTTTAAAAGTAAAAATTCTATGAAAAATTTGATCATATCATTGTTACGTTAAAAATTTTATTTATTGGGTTTTGCAATTTTCTTAATTCTTATTCATATTCTTATAAAGTTATTTCAAACTATTTCTTTGCATTTGACGCAATATCTTTGTAGATTTCAAGCTAAAAATACAATTATTAGTAATTTATTCATAATTATTCGTATTTAGTTACTATACATTAGATAGATATTACGTCGATAGAAAATAGATTGTAAAAAATAGATAATTCCAATACGAACATTATTAATATATACAATGTGCTTTTCTGATTAATTTTTTGTTAAATAAAATATTTATATGATTTGAATTTAAAATAATTGAAGTTAATAAAAATTGTAATCATTATGATATCAAAAATCATATTTAAAATCTAAATTCAAGATCGTATTATTTTTAAAAAATTTTACTTTAATAATTATTATTAATTTTAATGATTTAAATACAAACAAAATCTATTACGTCAAATTACACGACGATTGTAGTTGCTTTTTCGTGGGCATATCCGATAAAGGGGCTGGTTCCTTTGATATTTCCGATGTAGCGGCCAATTCCTTCAATACTTCCTCATGCATTTTCGATATACCGGTCATTAAGTTGTCCGAACTTTTCCATATAGGGTCTTTCTCTGTATTTTCAGCCAAAATGAATCTTTTTAATCGTCTCATTTCGTAACTCTACTCTATTCGATCTTTTTCGCGCCAAGAACATTAATATATTTTACTTATTATGACATATTGTGATATCTGAACGATTTACACAAAACACCCGTTATACATTCTTCATTACCTTCAATTAAAATTGGAATTCCAAATTTTTTAAGCGTTCTATCCTATATTTCCTTCAAGTTTCATTCTTCTGTTATTCCTTAATTTTTCTATTCGTTTCCCTCTCTTATTTTTAACTTACGAGCAAACTAGTTTTCCCTTCTCCAAAAGTATTTCACACAGTGATTTAATTATTCCACGGAGGAAAGTTGCAGAAAACTTTATTTCCGGTCTGAATACCGGTTCAGAAGAACAGTAAAAGTTGATTTCTTCTTTTAAACACATTGATTATTGATCTCTTTTCATCCAATATAAGCACATCTTATAGAATTTTTTCAACTGTATGTAATGGAAGAAAAACAGGTGATTATTTTCCAAGAGATTAGCGTGATTTATCAGCTGTAAACTTTTAATTGTAAACTTTTGTTTTCACGATAGAAAAAATCACTGATAGGAGATGCACGTGGTCTCACAAACACGATCTTTTGACGCACGATCGATGATACATTTCATTTTTTCCATCACATTATTGATCGCCATTGTTCAATTTAAACTCAATATCACAATATCACTTTACAGAAAAGTTTCTTTTTTTTTTTTTTTCTTTCTTTTTTTGCTTTTCATAAATATATATTTATGACATAGATCCATTAATTTTCAATTCTCAATTACAATATTTATTCACGCCATTGCCAATTATCATAATTCACTTAACTCGTGTACTTTCGAGTGTACTCGAATAGAATTAAAATTGATTTGAATTATATTTGATTGATATTTATTTATTTCTTCTTGATTAATCATCTATCTTTCGTAAATTACACAGATTATTATTAATATCTTCAATATGATGAAAGCATCCATGGAAAAAGTGATTGAATTGCATTTTTTCTTCAAAATGTATACTATTACTCGATTAAACAGGAAAAAGATAAGTTTGAATTCATAAGGGTTCTGTCTATGCTTCGATCACCGTGTTCCACGTCATCCAAAAGTATTCCAAGAATTAAAAGCGTTTGCAAATTTAATGCATACAAATTTTCTATTCAAGTTATTAACTTTACCGTACCGGATCCTGAAATGAAAAGTCTTATCACTTGTACCACTTTTCCTCTGTTCGCCCTATTTTAAATGTATTTTTAAATGTCGATGACAATTAGATATAATTAAATATAGAATTTGACACAGATTTAACGAGCCATATCAACGAAATCGAAGAATGGTATGTAGTTTTGAAGCGACTTGAATACTTGTCCAACATTCTAAGAAGTCTCATGGTCACTGACAACCATCATCGTACGGTATATACCTTTCAATCCAGTGTTTCCCCTACCTTGCAATACGTTAGATATACTCGAGGAAGTAACTCGAAACGAAGTTACTGACCAATTGGAAACGATTGATTTTCAAAATTGTTTGTTTGTTTTTTTCTTTTTTTTTTTTTTTTTTTT